GAGAGAGAGAGAGAGAGAGAGAGAGAGAGAGAGAGAGAGAGAGAGAAGAATCATCTGTGTAGGAATCATAACTGAACCCATAGAAGCTGATTAGGTCATCAAGAAAGCAAAGAGAAAAGAACCCAAGGCAGAACCTTGGGGATACACCCGGTAAGAAGATGGAATATAGATGACCTAGCAAAGGAGACTGAGGACTGAGGTAGGAGAAACAAGAGATAGCAGTGTTCAACAGCGTCAAAGGATGCAGAGGGTCCAGAAGAAGGATTGAGGAAAGGGTATCAGATTTGGCAATCAAGAGATAACTTTCAAAAGAGTGGTTTCAGTAAACTGCAAGGGGCTGAAAGGTGAGTGAGGAGGAAGTGGAAGGAATAAGTCTAGACAATTTTTTTTTTAAGATTTTGGATGTAAAGGGTAAATAGAATAATAATCTGAGGAGGTAGAAACAACAGTGTTTTTGAAAGATGGGAAGATCTGGTGCCATTGTAGGCGGTAGGAGATATAGATAGGGAGAGATTGAAGATTAGATTGTGGGAAGTCTATTAGAGGAGATGAGATAGGAGGGTATGGAATTAAGAATACAAGTAGAACAGTTGGCCTTGGCAGGGAGAAGGGCTAGCTCTTTATCACCTTCTTCCAGAACTGGTGTCAAAGAAGAAAAAATTGAGGATTATATTAAAGGGTTTTGAGATGTATAAGGGAGGAGGAAGGTTACTGCAAATGACTTCTTTTTTCCTTCTCAAAGTATGAGAGAATCTCAAAAATAACTAACTCCCTCATTTTATAGAACAAAAAAACTGAAGCCCAAAAAAGTGAAATGAGCTTTCCAAGATTGTTCAAATTCAGGGCTCTTGCCACTATACTATGCTTATTCCTGTTTAGTTAATGAAGCACCCGTAGGGAAGTCAAACCTTTTCTCATCCACCCAGTCAAGTGATTTCTCCTACCCACAAATTTAGAGGTTATTTTTCCATGCCTCAAATGAATTTGCTTTACTTTATATTAAATTGTGGTCGTATCTTCTCTCCCCAACCTGATTGGGAGTTTCTTGAGGATGGATCAGATCTTACTCATTTTTGACATTCCCACAGCACCCACACACAGGGCAATGAAGTAAGCATGTTTTGGTTTTCTGAGAAATGTTGTTGAATGACATGCCCACGATTGTGTAGCTGATAGTATAATGGGGACTAGAAATTTCTGCTCCCCATTCCCCACTTTCACTGCCCAGCATAGTGATCTAAGAGGGTGTTACAGACAAGAATCTTATGATAAATGAACGTGGATGCTCACATGCACACACATTCTTCTTAGGAGCATCTTTCACTGGCACTAGGACTTTTTGATATGACATCTTGTTGAAAGGGGGAGGAAACAGTAATTCAACAACCTGTTGGTCAACACTAAGTATAGTTTGCTGTTAGAAGATAAAGACAAGCTACCAAGTAGGCACTCTAGACTATGCCTAATGGATAGCAGCAAGGGCAACAAAGTTTACCTCAACTCCAATTAATTAGACAAAGTTCCGAAAAACCTGCTGCCTTTGAGACAGTAACTTTATTGAATTGAAATAGACATATAGCAGCAATTTACATACTGAAAGGGTTAAAAAGGAAAGCAAATTAATATTGCGGGAAAGGCAAGCTACCCACCACAGCTAGTTGCAACTATTGCAGTACAATGTTAATAATTAGGCATTCATGCATTAAATGTGATTAATAACCCTAGGGTACCAAAGCAGAGGCCAGAAAGAGTTATACTTAATTTCAAGGCTTTTTTATTGTATGAATGGTCGACCAAGTATCACCCTCCTAGCAGCATCTGGAGCACTCGTTGGTGTTCTATAGGTGGCTGGTGTACTTGACCCCCTTTTTAAAAACGTGTGTTCCATAAAAACACTACTTCCGCCCCAGTCCCATCTAAGAAGCTTCTGTTAAGGAAAAGAAATGCATGTTTCCATCTAAAAATCTGTAAAAGCCAACAAATCCCCCAGGCAGCAGTCAACGGAGCAGAGCTTAGAGCAGGCACTTCAGCAAATTCATTTCTGATGAGAAGTGTTAGAAAATTCACTCCTGCTCTTTGCTAGGTTTCTTATCACTCTGCGGTGGTGTGAGGACTCCAGTGGGAGCAGACACTCTCTCATCAGCCAGCATGGCTTGCTTTTCATAAGCTCTGTCCTAAAATAAGACCAAAGGAGAGAAATAACAATAGTTAAAAAAAAAGTAGGTTTTTTACTTATACTTTTTTACTAACTGCTGAAAAGAAGGCATGCAACAGCCTTTAAATCCTACTATACTTTCAGAACTGTCTTTTATATTAAGATGGTTGAGTTAATCAATGTTAATTCTGAGTAAAATGAGTCTTCAACTCAGAAGTGATAATCTAGGGATAAGGATGGGCTGATATTTAAAGGGGAAATGATCAATTTCATATTGATGTAATCAGTTATATCTAAAATCAGATTCAGTTTCTCAGAATATGTTTTCACTAACTGATTTCCTAAGAATCTACATTAAATTTATGAAATAAACTCACAAAAATATAAAGTGATCTTTTGGTTTACCTAACACCTAAAAGTAGAATCTCCTTCCATGATTTTTTTAAAAAAATAATTAAATGAGTGGGTATCTTTCTGGGTTATTTATATGTAGTCTTGTCTGCGGCAAAGGACTACATGGACTGGGTATAGTCAGATCCTTAAACCAAGGTATGAGAAAATATAAAGGTTATTACTGACCAGCAAATTTATGGTGTTCACGTGAGTCTGAATGTTATGCATGTCTTCACTAGGAACACCCTTGAAATATTTGAGTCTGGCTCCTCCTACTTCCTTTACAGCCATAGAAAATGGGATCATCCACTTCACACACTCCTCTACTTCGGGCCAATCAAAGCCTGGAAAATAAAGTGAAACCAGTGCTCAGTCTAAGCTTAGGATGTGGATATGTCAATACATTGATAGACGCACTTCAGATTCATCTGAAATCCAACTTACCTGAAACTTTTTTCATTATCTCAGTGGAAGAGAAATGATATAAGGCAGATGCAGCCAGCACTCCATAAGTAAAATCAAAGCAGCCCATATCCAGGATGCAGACATCTAAAAGCTACAGAGGAAGTGAGGAAAGTATGATAGAAAACAAGCCAGTCAGTCAATCAATAAACATACCCCCATGACATTACTTAAGATAGATGGGATGCCACACCAAATAGAACAGCTTGTAGTGCTGGCACTTACCTCGGCAACCTGCACAAAGATTTGCTGAGGATACTGCGGCATAAGCACTTCTTCATACAGGTCATTGAGATAAGCAACCTGCATGTATACATTTAGCCAGGACACGAGTGTCATCGGACTTAAACGCCACTTAAGGGCCTATAATAAAATGGAAGGAAGAAAGGAGAAGACAATTTAGAGATCAATAGCTAAGCCAAGAATAATGGAGCACCCTGCCACACAGTGGTAGATTGCCATACAAATAATCAACCATCTTCAGAGTTAGAGTATGTCCGCACAGAATCAAGATTTAGAAGGTCATTATTTAATTCAGAGAATATGATAATTAGGTATACATTGAAGATGAATCAAATTCAAACAGGCAATTGCTTTCATCCTTGAAGAAATTCTGCATGAAGATTGAGCAGAAAATGTTTTATAAATTATTACTAACTTACCTTCATAATGATTAATTCCATGGTAAGAATTTCTTCCTCTGTACAAGCTCCATCTGTCACATAAGCAAACTGGTACAGCTTTGGTGGATAGATTTCCTGAAAGAAAAATAAATAAAATCATCATTACCACCAAAGCCAAACATTGGCATCTGCATGCCATAGTGTCCATTCGAATATCCCATTACCTGCTTTTTCTGAACCAGGTTTGACTGATGAAGATACAAAAACATAAAGATTCCACCTCTGTATTTGGAATTCTAGCATCTTTAAATTGTTAATTCATAGCAATATATTCATGGGAAAAATACAAGAGCCCACCAGTAGTCAAAATGCCTGTGAAATCTGAAAGAAATTAATGAACTGTGTTTGCTGTCATATACCTTTAGAGCAATTTTTTTTTGCCCGCTCTTAGCTTCACATTTAAAAGTTGGGCCCTAACTTAGCACAAGTTGCCAAGATTAAGGCTGTTTCCTCCATCTAAACCATATTCATAACCCAAAAGTAAGGTACTTTCTATACCATAAAAGTAAAATAGTCTGTATTCTAAACACGAACAGATTTCCTACCCTCATTGAAGCTAACATGTAATACTAACATAAAAACTCGAACAAGTTTTACCTCAAGTTTGGCAGCTATAAATAATGAGGTAATCCCAATAAGCTGCAGAAGTGTTTTTGTAATATTTCGCTGTGTTGCCATATATCGATCAAAGAAGTCTTGTGCCAAGTAATACGTCTCCCTGTGAAGTTTATAGACTTCAGACACCTGAAAAAATATTTAATAAGTTTTAGTACATTTACCTGAAAGAATGTTTCTCACGGGCTTTCAATGTTTTGCTTTTAGATAAAAGAGCAAAAACAAAAGTGCTGACAAGTTTACTTTTCTCCATTCTAACCTATAAGTGTACTTATACAGGGAACTTGAGTCTTACTTAATATGGTCCAACTCTTCTAAGTTTCATATGTAGATTTAATCCTTTAGAGAATTAAACAATTGTTTTCAAGGGAAACCCCCTTAAGAAAGTCCCACAAAAAAATTATCAACCTTTCAAAATTTAATCTGAAAAACATTGTGACTTGGGCATCATATACCATATACTACTAGATGGTTAAAATAGCAAAAATTTTAATAAATATCAAGGAACAGAGATTTAAAGACAGGCACAAAGTCAGGCTTTAAAGGCATCACAGTATAATAGAAATATCAATGGACCAAGGAGGAGACCTTGAGTCTAGTCCCAGCTCTATCACTTACTAAGTGAATGTGTCTCTATTCTCATTTGTAAAATAGGGAAAACTGCCCAGCCTAACTGGTTGTTGTAAGGATCACATGAGAAATCTATGAAGGTGCTTTGTAAATGATAAATTGCTATACAAATGTAAGGCATCATCACAAAAGCTAATAAAAAACACTAAGTCTTTCTAGGAATAGGATATGCCAACATTAACATGTTAATGTTTCAAAATTTGTCTCTGTTAGACTCTAAATTGTATGTAAGCAAAGAGTGAGTATATTTGGGGGGGGTAGGGAGGAATGATTGAAAGAGTAAGGAGAGTAATTGGTGTAAATAAAGTAAGTTTATGAAGATTCCTTAGCATGTAAAACACCATTTCTAATGATTAGGGTTAACATCACTGGCTAGTATTCAAGTTTCACCATTATGTTTGAGAACAGAAATAAAACCCAACTCTTGAAGTGAAACTCTTGTTGTTTGTAAGAAAAACTTTCAAAGATCCTTTACCAAACCCAAAATTCAGCACCTGCCATTAACAGTATGGGCACCCTTTTCATATGCAAAAAAATCACAGTTGTGATAGATATTAAGTTTTTAAACTTATCTGAATTTTTAACTGTTACTCATTATGAAAAACTCAGAAATAGCAGAATTTGCTAACATAGTTAAGAGCTTCAGTAGGCCTAATTTAAGGGGAAAAAAACACTTCTCAAAAGTTATATGTGATGAAGCACCTCTCATAGAAGATTGGATATGCCTGACAAGATAAATTTACCTATCAGAGTCACAAAATAGAAGACAACTTTACTTCATGTCTGTCACAGATTTTAAACAATAGAAATGTTTGTTTCAGGGCCAAATTAGAAAAGAAAAACAGAATTACTTTGATTTCCATGTTTTGGAAATGAGAAAGGCAATGAATACTTCATGGATTCAAAAAAAGAACCAGAAAACCAATTCAAAGAATTCTTTGTGAATGAGCAAAATATGTTCACATACTTGTTTATACCATACCGTCACAGTTTAATGCCAACAGTCAAACTTACCTCCATCATCCAATCCAGAAGGATGGATCGCATTCTTGGCTGTAGAGAAGGATGTCTCTCCATAAAGTTCTTATCCCTCAGGTATACCTGTTCTTTGCTTAACATGATTTTCCAAACCTCATCTCTATTTGCCCAGCTATAAAAAATGAAACACTTATTAAAGTGCCTAAAAGTTAGAAGGAAAGCTGTAGTGAAGAGTTACAGATGTGTAAGTGGGTATGGCAGGTTAATTACTTACCCCAATAATGGTAATGGTGTAGCTCTATGTTGTGAGAAGTTGTGGGTTGGCATGTTAGAATTAGGTAATGATGGCTCATCCCCTCCTTTGTCAGGTGTGAGAATCACTGACCATGGATTTCTGAGAAAAGCCTGTTCAAGGAAAACATCTTTTTAAGTAATGGGTTACTTGAAATCAGTCTCAGTACAGAGGATATAAATGATTCTTTATATCAGACAGCATTTATTCATGAAAAGAAGTACCTTCATGCTACAGAAAAAATGTTAGTGTCATTATCTTAATTAAAGCAGAATCCTACATTTTTTCAGGATAAAGGAGAATGCAGTCAAGTCTAGATTAGGGATTTTTAACTCTTTTGGCAATCAGGTAAAGATTATAGACTCTTCAGGGTTTTGCTTTTTAGTACATAAAATAAAATACATAGAAGAGAAATCAATAAATTGAAACATGCTTATCAAAATATTAAAAAAAAATTCATGAGCCCAATGAAATGTATTCAAAGACACCAGATTAAGAACCCCTGGTCTAGATAAATGAAATTCACATAACCTCACACATTCATTTTAGCCATGAGCTTTGTCTCATATCTAGCAAGCACCTCCTATTTACAGTTTAGTTTCTAGAAACATTCCTCATATCCTTTTTGTGCCATTTTATAAAAGATTTCTGGGCTTTTGCTACCTCATTTACTTAGACCTTATCTAAAGTTACAGGCTACTTTACAAGCATATTACCACTTTAGGTAGAGAACAAAAAGAGATAAGTAAATATGTTCTACAACAAAATATTTGCTTTAAGTTGGCTGTCCATACTCAAAAGTATAAAAATAAGATTGTCCAAATCAAATTTGCAGTAGCAAGTTTAAATTAAAATGCATCAATTGCTGCTCCTTTCAGATTTAGGATAGAGGGAACTAGCAAACGTTTTCATGTGGCTATCTAGTATAGTTTCCTTAAATTGAAAGTCTGTTTGTGAACAGGGTGTATGAGCAATGTATCGGTTCTATTTTCACAATGGTACTAAAAAGTATAGAGATGTAGCATAGAAGATTTTTAACCCCCTTGAAAGAGAATCAAAATGTTTGACACATTTAAAGTATTATTATATTTTTAAGAAAAATAAGCAATAAATCCAGCATTGTGAGAACTAAAATTTATGCCTTCTATAAAAACCATAAAAACAGAAAATCCAAACATTTAAGACCACCTTTGCAGACTAAATGTATCCCAAATGTCATAGTGGTCTCAGTTGAAGTTTTGGAATATTTTATTTCTACTCAAATAGGAATGTTTTGGCAAAGTTTGAGTTGCATTAAGACTTATTTTAAGTTTCCATATTTAATTTCTGGCTTTATAAAAAATTTTAGACTCAATTTTCAGAACCTCTCTTCCCCCAATTCTCCCCCCACCTTTTTAAACAATGCAACCATCTTGCCAAAAATGTCAATCCACTATGCCTTCATGGAAAACCTGTGGAAAAGTCTGAATCTATTTGTATTTCCATTGTTTTAATAAAGAGGAAGTCTATTAAGTTTTAATACAAAAGACTGAAAAAATTGTAAATGAATGTCATCTAGCTTCTGGCTCAAAAGGAATGCTGATTAGGCAATAGTAGGTCCCTTTTCAACACATTTTACACTGTCCATATATCACTCAGGGGTTGCTTGTGCACTTTTCAAGCTGCTAAGGGTATCTAAGTTGGAATCAAGTCTCCTCTCCCTCCCCCTCTAAAAAACAAAGCCATTCCTCATCCTAGGCAGAATGGACATGCAAGATTTCCCATTGCAGTTCATGGGATAACTTGTGGGAGAAAGGAAACCTCTTCCAATTAGTCTACAACATATTGCTGGTAGCATCTCTATGATTCAATAAGAGGTATGTTAAGAGTGCTGTAAATTAATTTTACTCTTCTGTCAGTAGCCCAAAATTTTGTTTTGAGGGCACAATCATCTCTGACCACATTATTGGCAAAGCTAAGAACAGGTCTTTGTAGATAAGTTGGCAGCCATTTTTAAACTACAAGTCAGAGAAGAGTTACAAGAGACCTAAGAACTGATTAATTTTTCCCGAGAGGAGGCATATTACAGAAGAAGTGGGTAAGCAGAATAACACTGCATTACTCCATTGAGTACACCTTGAAGAGGTACCTAGCTTTAAAAGATGAACCCAAACTAAAGAGAAGGGTTATAGAGAGGACTGGTATAAACTGAAAGATCAAGGAAATGTTCCAATGAAAAAACTGGGACTCATGTTAGGGCTACAAATTTTCTGAAACAACAAGATAGATATACTATATTAGTCTTAGAGTTTAATAAAATTGCTGAATATTATCTTAGGATTAGATATGGTCTTGATGAAGTAGTTATTCAAAAACAGCATTACTAATGATTTTTAAAGACAGTTCACAGTAGTAACCCCCCTGCTGTTCTTCTAAACGCATATGCTCACTCACTTCAGCAGGTCAATAATTAACTCTTTAACAGAATGATTTTAATCACAAGCCAACCAAAAGATTTCTATTGTACTTCCAAATTCTAGCTTCACAAATTAACATCAAAGACATTCTTCCCTAAGCACACTGATTAACTCATATATCAACATATTTAAAAAATAAATAGGAATCTGTTCTTAGTATGTAGAAAATTACAAGAAACCCTTAAAATATCCATGGCTGGAAACTGACATGAGTAAACTCAGTATGACTATTTACATACTGTGGCTATGTGACCAGTTGAGTTAAGATAGGACAACTAGGTTATCTCATGTAAAATGTTATTATTAGTGTTCTGTAATTGGAAAGTGCTATATAGAGGCAAGCTATTATCATATTCTATTAATATGTCAAAGACCAAAGTATCTGCTTAGTCTATTCCTCATTTAAGAATTGGAAACACTTTTAAGTTTTACATTTTAAGATAAGCTTAACTAACTCAATATCCATTCTTGCTGCTCTCTCTAAGAAATGAAGATGCACATAGTAGGTACTTAGAGATTTGTAAGTGAGACAGAAGAAAAAATAAATTTATTTTCTAATCAAAGTATACCTAATGATGTATTTTGCATTTTAAAAATGGGGTTATAACACCCACATAACCTTCATTATTGTGTTTGATTAAAGGATTGGCTTAGATAGGATGAGAGGAGATAAGGAAAAAGGAACAACAATTCTCTTCACTAGACTGAAATACTTTTTTTTTTCCAATTTAGGAAGAAATCACCAATCTCACTTTTCAATGTTCAGTGAATCCTGCTTAGGAAGGACTGAATGTGTCTTTTATATTAAACTATGACTACCATTTCAAACAATGATGCCCATCTGCTACGAAGCACTTTACTCTTTAAGGTTCCAGCTGCTACCTCTGTTTAGATATATCACATTGTTCATTTTCCTATGAAATGATGTACTGCCCACCCCCAAGTTTGTCACAGGCACTTAACTCAGCTTCAATAAATATTCTTACTCTTGTTTTTTGTTTGTTTGTTTGTTTGTTTTTTATGATGTTACAAGATGGACTGAGGATGGGATGGGGAGGGAGGAGGGAGACAGATACCTTCTCTAAATCCAAACCATGACTATGGTCTCCAGTCATTTCTGGAGGTAAAGATAGGGTTCTTTTCATAATTAGCATCAGATATCACAATGTATAATTTTAGAGGTTTGTTCTTAAGGGAAAGGTTAAGACAAGTAGACTAGTCAACTGAAATTCTATAATGAAACATATTTAATATACAATATCTTCTACAAATACTTATACCTATTAAGGTCAATTCAAAACCCAGTTGGTAGCAACACTTTTAGTTAAGTGTTAAACATATGTAATAATCACTGATCAGAGATAGTGAGGCAGAGTCATCAAGATACAAACCAATCTATTTTATTTAATGTTACCACATGCTCTATGCAGAAGGAATTCAACAATTTCAAAGGTGTAAAGGGACTTTCCAAATAGGGAGAGGTATTCATTTAAAACTTACTCTTTTAGAGATCACCATTAATCCACTTACCCTGAGCTGTTTGTCCTTCTTCAGAAGGTTACTAAGATATGTATTTCCCATTTGGATCATATGTGAGCTTGTACACTGGACTAAGGCTGGAGACCTTGGTTTTAGGTCTGTCTGCCAATAATTAGCTTTGTTACCTTAGGCAAATCATTTTACCTCTGGAGGGCTCAGTTTCCTCCCCAGTAAAGAGAAATACTTGAAACAGATGATTGCAAAGATCTTTTCCAGCTATTATGTGAGATCTAAAATCTAAATGTCCAGAGTTTTCCCAACAGGGGAGGAGGAATAACAGTCCTCAGCTTGTTAAGAGCTGAGAGTACATAATTAGGCAAAGATTACCTTTAATCGCAATGAGTGAGGAAGAACAAAAGAATATAGTAAAAGCATGATTATAGTAGTAAGAAAAGAGGAAACTAGAGAGTTTAAAAATCATCTTTGTCAATATCAGGAAATAACAAGGATCATGCTTGCGGACTATGAAGCTTACCGGTATCCTGACCGCAGTTCTTCCAATTGTTTCCCTTTTGGCCAATACTTCATCTGGATCCAGCAAAAACTAGATCCAAAAAACACAATCCAACAAGAGCGAGAATAACATAAAACTGTGAGCATGAAGTTTGAACAAGAACTGTCTCCCCAAATCCAATCCTTTCTCCCACAATACCTGACTAAGGATCCCTACAGTCCCAGGATACTTGGAATCTATGACAGGGAAGGAGTTTCCCCATATTTTACCTCCCTTGTACTCACCACAGCTACATCTGCCTTTCTTTTCCGGGAGCGGGAGGATTCTGTTGAGCCGCTACCACTTTGCTGTCTTCCAGGTTCAATCCCCCTCTTCTTGTTCTCTTCCTCTTTCCCATTCCATCCATCTTCCTTCCCATCAGGGCTTTTTTCCTCCTTCCCTTCCGCATGCTCACTGGGACTTTGATTTTTCTTCCCATCAAAAAGCTCACCAGCACTTGGATCTTGCCTGCTATCAGGATTTGGGTCTTCCCTGCCATCAGGGCTTGGGTCTTCCCTGCCATCAGGGCTTGGGTCTTCCCTGCCATTTGGTCTTGGCTCATCTCTCCCATCAAAAAGCTCATGGAGACTTGGGTCTTGCTCCCCACAAAGGAGCTCATGGAAGCTTGGATCTTCCTCCTCACAGATGAGATCAATAGGACTTGGGTCTTCCTCCTCACAAATAAGTTCCTCTTCATCGGGGTGTGGGATTTCCTCCTCACAGATAAGATCATCAGGGTTTGGGTCTTCTTCCTCACAGATGAGCTCCTCTGCATTGGGATCTTCCTCGTCACAGATGAGCTCCTCGGGATTGGCATCTTCCTCATCAATGGCATCATCTCCCTCATCACACATAAGCTCATCGGGGTCAGGATCCTCCTCTTGGCAGATCAGTTCATCGGCATGGGGGTCTTCTTCCTCACAGACAAGCTCCTCTAAGCTGGCACCTTCCTCCTCACAGACAAGCTCATCAGGGTTGGGATCTCCCTCCTCATAGATAACTTCATCAAAGCTTGGATCATCATCCCCATAGACAAGCTCATCAATACTTGGATCCTCCTCCCCATCAAAGAGCTCATCCGGGCTTGGCTCGTGTGTGCCGTTCATAAGCACATCGGGGCTCCGCTCGTGTATACCATTCATAAGCTCATCATGGCTTGGCTCTTCCTTCCCATTCACAAGCTCATCGGGGTTTGGCTCTTCCTTCTGATCAGCATGATCTTCCTTCACATCCTGGGTAAATTCCTCCTTCCCCTGGCATTCCTCGGAACCGCTGCAAAAATAAAGCCAATGGGGATTGTTGGGAGGGGCTTTGCCCCTAAACCACCTTCTCCCTTTCCCTGCCACAGAGATACTCACCTTTCTCTGGACATTGTGGCAGAGCAAGGGCTAAGACCTCAGTTCTAGAAGGACAGAAAGAGGAAAGATTAAAAGGACTAATAAGTCTTTTCCGAGCAGTACCAATCTGCTCCTGTGGCCACCTAATTCCCAAGAGGACACGATTCTTTCCCTCCTTCCCCCTTCTCTCCCCAGGGTGGTGGCAGGGAAAGTATCCCAAGCCCCCGGGGGCGAAATAGTTTAGAATGGGAGAAGGGCCACAGATGCTCAAGATCAGTCTCCAAGAGACAACCCACCCACTTATTGCAAAAAGACTCTCTGCCCTCCCGCTCAGCCCCCAGAAAACACCAATCCTCAGGGTACACTGATCTTTCAAACTCAAGTGTAACCCGGGGCACCAGACCTGCCTCTTCGGATTTATGTGCAAAGTCAGTGGAATTGGGGGTGGAGTGGGGGAAGGTCACCTCCGCCCCTTCTTGGCGTGCCTCACGTCAAACCATCAAATGGGAGAAAATGAGCCAGATCTACCTCCTGCGAACCCCAACCTTATGGTGGTGGTGGTGGAGGCGGCAGCGGCCAAAGTAGTGGATATGGCGCGTCTACAAGGTAATCCTGGGATCCGCAGAATCCCGGTTCACCTGCACTCGCATCTCGCACACCTCCCTTCCCCTCCCCTTACCTCCGCCGTTGGTCTGGCAGGCGGCCACTCAGCGGGAATCCAGGTGGCAGAGGTAATGACCAAGCAAGGCAGAAGTCTTGCCAGGGGTAGCCTCGCCAACCCGCTGTGTAACGGGCAGCGTGTACTGCGGACCCTACTGGTCAAGTCAGCAAGCGAGCTGACAGCGTGCGTTCCTCTACCTCTATCTCCCCAGCCCGCCTGAGCCCATCTCCCACTTGCACACTGCCCGCTCTGCTGGCTCGCTAGCTCCGGCTAGTTGGCTGGCTGGTGGGGCTGGCCCGCCCGCCCTCAGGGGCGGTGTTTGCGGCTCCCACTCCCCGCCCTCCTTTGCTGATCTCCCGCCTCTGCTAGCAGCTCCTCCCGCCACACCACTCGGCGCGGAGTGTGGCCCCTGCCGGCTCTGCCTGCTGGTCTCGCCCGTTGGCAGCCAAAGGACGCAGAGCTCTGCCGCTGACACCAGGTACCAGCCGTCAGGCTGGAAGGATGAGGATGCAAGGACCCGGCTGCAAGGACCCGGCTGCGAGGACCCGGCTGCAAAGATAGGCTGCAGGGTCTTGGCTGCAGGGACTTGGCCGCAGGGATTTGGCTGTAGGGATGCGGCTGCGAAGACTTGGCGGCAGGCACTCGGCTGCTATCAGAACTCGGCTGCGGAACTCTCCAGCTGTGGCGATGGGATGCCCACTGTGCCCGCCTCCCTCCTCCTCCCACCTTCCCTTGGGAGCCCCAGGTGCATCCTTACCCGCAACGGGCGGCGGCTGGTGGCAGCAGCAGCAGCGGGCGCGGGTGGCGGAGGCGGTGGCAGCGGAGGCTGCGGCAGCGGAGCCGGAGGAGGCGGCGGGGGTGGTGGGGGAGGCAGCGGCTGGGGAGGTGGAGGTGGCGGGGGCGGCAGCGGTGGCGGAGCTGGGGGCTGCTGATGGATGCCCGCAGGCGGCAGCTGGTGATCGGGGTTGGCCGAGGGAGGCAGGGTGAAGAGGAGGAGAGGCAAAGGCCAGAGGCGAAGAAGGAGGAGGCCAGAGGAGGCGAAGCTCTGAGCTCCTGGGCAGCTCTGGTGGGATGTGCAGGGCGCAGCTACCTTCCTTTATACCCTGACTGCCCGCGCCCCCCTCCAGCAGGACATTAAAAAAATATCTAAGGCGCGCAGCGGCCCCCCCACCCCACCCCCTCATTTCTCCCCCTCCCCTTCTCCCTCCCCACCCCCACTCCCAATCCTCCCCCCCTCTTCAGGTCCGGCCAGTCGCGGCCTCAGCGCCTGGGCCGGGCTAGGGCCAGCTCTCCCTGCCTGGGCGTCGAGTTCTGGGGGTAGGGGGCACCCAGCCAGCAGCTCCGGATGAAAAGCTGCTCCCCCCACTTCAGTTCATAGGGAGCATGCGCACTGATGTGCAGCTGCCAATGGGGGGTGGTGCTCAGGGAAAGGCGAAGGGGGGGGCATGCTTGCAATTCAAGGGCTGAGGGAAGGGAGGCGGAGCTGGCCTGAGCACCGCTGTTCTCTCTATGAGTTGCAAAAAACAGCGTGGTCGGCTACAGATCCATGTAAACAAGGGGGGATTGTGATAGCTCTTTTGGAGGGGGAGAAAATGTGTATGGGACCCCTAGACTGCAGGCTTGGTTCCAGCCTCACACTTGAGGAACAGTGTCATGAGATGGGGTGAACTTGGAAAGCGGGATAGAGGGGAGGCATTACTGCTCTTTGGCCTTTGCAATCGCCGCTGTAGGTTGTGCTTGGTGTCTTTCTCCCTGGTTAATGTGTGTGGGTGTGGGTGGGTGGGGTGTCTTAACTACTTTTCTTGATTTTCGAGGCCAAGATGCCAGTCCCAACTCTTTCTCTTCTCTCTGCACCCGTTGTAACATGCCCGAGGCAGAATAACACCAACCTTACCTGACACTGCAGAAGCCTGTGTGATTTTCCCTTCTGCTTTTCATTCATGCATAACCCCTGCTTCCAAGTCTTGGAGACCTCTCCAACCCAGGTTGAACTCTCTAGCCCTTGAGGCCCTGTCACACTTACATTCCGGCCCCTGGTTTTATTCAATTTAGCACTTCATTGCATGTGGCCTTGTTGTGATATCTGCCATGACTGTAACTCGGGGTTACTCCAAAAGAACCTTCCAAAAGACTGTAAGCTCAAGAGATTCATGATTTATAGATAGTTCTCTTCCTGGGTTCCTCAACAATATGCCACAGCCATATTTTCTGAACCAAAAGTTGGGAAGTATGATCTGAGGAAGGATGTTTCTTTAGGAAAGCGTCCTTAGGTAAAAGTACACTTTCTTTTCTTAAAATGGAGAGAGCTCTGAAAAATCCCAGAGACAGAATCTCTACTCACAAACCCAACTCTAGGAGGTGTAGTAGGTACTTGATCATATTTGTGGAATGAGTGAGAATGAATAAGTGAATGAATAAAGACATAGCTGTTTCAATGGAAAGAGTAATGGATTTGGAGTCAGAAGTCCTGGATTCATTATCAAGTTCTGTTGCTTACTGCTAGTGTGACCTTTGGCAAATCACATATCTCTATGCCTCAGTTTCCTTATCTATCCATCACAGATGTTCTAACTGACATTAAGTGCTTCTTCAAATGAATAAGGATGGCAGGATGCTATGAATGAATGGATGAGGATAAAGGGCTTCTGCCAATTAATGAATAAAGATGGTGGTCTCCATGGTGCCAAGGGTGAGAGGGATTGCAAACTGATTACTAGGCTCCAGGTGTGGTTGGGAGAAAGAGAGGCAGGGAGGAACCTGAGATAAGTTAATCATGCAGTTGAATCTCAATGAGTTAAGAGAGCAGGCTTTTAACCCAAATCTTCCTCTTACTGATTCTGACTTGTTAGGCAAGTCCTTTAACCTCTTTGGGTCTCAGTTCCTGATCTGCAAAATGGAAATTGGGTAGGGCGGACTAGATGATTCAAGGTCCCTTCCAACAAACAACCCCTTCCAACTCAATGTTCAGCGATTCTAAGTTCATCCTTCAAAGCAAGGATTCAATTTAATTCAACAAGCATTTACTTATTTCTTTATTTGTGAGCACCCACTGTGTGCAATCCTTTGCTAGGGGGATGCAACATAAAATAAGACATGTCCACTGGCCTCAGAAAGCTTATGGTTTAGTGCTCATTTGGTAAAACCAAATTTTCCTTAATTCCTTGGTTTTCTGTTTCCTTCCAGCCTTTCCTAGACCATTCTACAATGAAGCTTAAGGAATAACATAATAGGAATTTTAGGGAATGATACTAGCTAGAATAGAGGAACAAGATTAGACACAGGCATGGGAAGTGGGAGGAGAAGACAAGTAAGGGCCAGATCTGAAGAGGGCCATGCATCATTTTATCCCTTGGAAGAGGGGCCTCTCTGCCCCTGGATGGGGATCTCCCTGGGAAAGAGGCAGCCTTCCCAGAGCACACCACACCTAATCTTCCCTTACAGATATACTAATTCTTCTTTCTCTTGGGAAACATGGAAGTAATGAGACAAGGCAAGCATTTTGAGGGGTTGCTTTCTCTCTGATAGTCCGTGAAGTTTGGGCAGCTGTGTGCACAACTGGACTTTGCTGTCACTGAGGCAGCCTCTGTCTGTCTGCAGTTGGTATTGATTTCACTCCAAGGAAGTGAGCTCTCCTTTATCCTTGGAGCTCAGTTTTCAGTTTGGGGATTATCTAGGCCCAGGGCTTCTCCTTCCTGCCAGACATTTGGATATTTCAAGGCTCCCTTGTTAGTGCCTCAACTCATGTTCGTTGAATGAATGAATTGGCCATTTGTTAACTGGTTTTGGGGAGTAGGGATGGTCATAAAGCAGATTGAAATTATTGCCTGAGCCAGGACTGGGTAACCTGCATCACAGTTGCCACTGAGTACAGCCTGAGGCAACTTCTGTTGAATGACAGGTCCATTCCAACTATATCCTCTCTACCTTTCAAAACTCAATCCAAGTGATCCCTCTTCATGTGGTGAAGGATTTCAAGACACCAGTCTTGAAAGTTTCACCGTCCCTCAGGCAAAAGTATGAAGTAGTGGAAATCATCTTCAGCATCCTTACTTGCAGACTCCCCACCATAGGCATGCCCTCTCAACCCTCCTAAATCCAAGGCTAGATTCCTCTTTCTACCTTTTTCTTCTTCCCTCCCCCCTTAAAACCAACATACTTTTGTCTTCTGCCTTGAAGGGTCTTGTTCTTTGTCCAATTTACTGTTCCCACTTGATCTTTGAAAGGTTTTGTTCTCATCTGGTCCTAGAATTGTAGAACTGTAGGATATTGGACTAGGCAGGGAGAGTACTCATTCTCTGAGGAGGAAACAGAATCCCGCAGAGATAGAATGATTTGCCCAAAAGACAACTTTTTTCTCCACCAAAAAAAAATTACTTTGTAAAGTAAGATTCATCTTCCTATGACTCTTTTCTCCCTATATTTTATTAAAAAAATCATGTGGACTCAAACTGAACTTGACATTGATACTTTTGTACTTTCATTTTCAGAGTTAAGTTCAATTATATTCGGATGTTTAATATTTTAGTGTATAGCCCTTTCACTTAACAGACATCTTTAATTGTTTAACAGCTTTGATTGAAAAAAAGTGAATGGGGTGGGGGGAAGGGGGCATTTATATAACACTATGTACAACAGGTCAGCCTAGAAGATCTTTGGGGAACCAGTGTAACTCCCCCAGTTTCCTATTTGATTCTATGAGATGTAACTATTGACAATGAGACTGATTTTTAAACAAACTCATATGAACTTTATACATCCAAAGAGTGTTGCCTCTGATCCTGCAAGCCTTTCTCCCATCTGTCCCCTTCAATCAATCAACAAATATTTATTGATGCCTATTCTATGTCCTCCTCCCTGCAGTTCTAAATGTCAAAATGCTATCCATTCTTCAAAACACAGCACATATCCTGCCTCTTATGTGAAGCTTTGCCAGCCTGCAGGCATCTGCCCTTTTCTGAACTCCTATAATATTTGCTGTGCACCATGTAGAGAATCACAGACTCTCAGAGTTTAGACCAGGGGTTCATAACTGAATCCATGAACTTGTCTTTTAAAAAAAAAAGATATATTTTGATTACTTATTCCAATAGAATTGGTTTCCATTGCAATCCTATGTATTTTATTTTAAGTATTAAGAACATTATTCTGAGATGGGGTCTATAGGCTTTACCAAACTGCCAAAAGAGTC